TAATATAATATATATTATATAATATATTATGATAGGTATTATATGTTATATATTGTATATGATATATGTAAATATTGTATGTATGTTACTCTAGTTAAACTCAAATAAAATATACATGTAAATGTATTGTATATGCCTTCTTACAAGTCAATCTTAACACATTTATCATTTAGAACCTATTTAGGTTCTGAATCTCAATTTTTATGTAACAGGATATGTCAGTAATATTAACATTAGTGATTCCCATTAAAAAGCTATTACTGACAGTAATATGTTAAGAATTAACTCCGTGTTTCAGTGTGGTCTTACACCTATGAGGGCACATTTAAAGAAATAAACAGAAAGGGGTGGAAGAATGTTAACTGGCTATTCCAAATAATGTGGCATGAACAGGGAGTGGACAGAAGTGAAAATCAGTCACTGCTTACATAAGTTACAATAGAAAATTTTATTCAATTAATTATTGACTTGAAGGTCCTGAAGTGATAATAACCAGGTAGTAAATAGGAATAACTAAAACAGCCAGGTGTATTACCATTTTTGACATGAGAAATATCAGAAAATTTCTATTTTCTCAGTGTATGTGTATTCAAAAAACAAAGTCTGGGAAGTTTTAGAATTACATGTAAATGTAATGTGTCTACATAGTCAAGCTTTAATTAACACCCTATAAGAAGAAAATTCTCCAAACTAAATTCCCAATATTTTATATATTTCGTTATGTAGAGATATCTGAATATGACAAAAGGAAGCACTAAATAAAACAACAGCTGAATTAAATTTATATATCACTCTAATGATAGCCACGTTATTTATTTCTCATTTTTCTTTCCTCTCCTGACAACCTTACCTTGTATATACTAACAAAAGAGCCAAGAAAAGCCCCGAGCTGGAAGTTTTCTTTATTGTAGAATAGGGAAAGTAGCCGGGATGGCTGTGTAAACAGATGCCTAAATGCAGAGGGGATTCTGAGGCAGCACTGGATCAAGTATCCCACACTAAACATTCTGATAAAGCCCTAGAGAAAATTGGAAGAAAATTATGATTTATAGCCAAATTTTGAAGTTTGATATAATATGAACCTTATTATCTCAGAATCAAAGTGAAAGTCAAAAATATTTAATACGAGGTTATATCACTTTTCAAAATAAAGTCTTAAAACATCAAACACTAATTTTATAATAATGATCTTAAAAATCAGGATAAAATCTTGGAGCAAACTTTCTTGGATTTACAAAGACTTAGAAAGTCTCATAAGCATTGCCAAAACTTGCCTATGCAGGGAAATTCCATTCCCTGACATTCTGTTGACAATAAGAATTTTTAAAATTCCTAAACCACAAATGAATTTTAGAAACAAAAGAAATGAAATTTCAAAAAAAAGTTAACAAAAACAAATGCTTTTGGAAACTGTAACAGAAAACTATTACTAATCATTAGTACAAGCAGGGATTCTTCTGATAGATAATTTCATTATTTGTTTAAATCTTTGGTATCAAAATTTTACAGAGTAGAAGAATTTTCTAGGGGAGAAAAAGAAAAGTATATCTAAGTTTTTATCCTATGTTCAATTGCATCAGGTTACAACATCCTAGGGAAAGGCTGCTTTAAGATATATTAAACTAAACTGAAAACAACAAGTAATACTGATCTCTCATCCTCCTGCTCCTCTCTCACCCACAGCAGAATGGGAAAAGTGTCAGCACTCCTAGCCTCGCTTCCTTGCCAAATTTCAAAAGTCAGTTTTATTTTGACCAGATTGCAACTTTCTTTAAAAATAAAAACCAAATCACAAGGAAGTAATATTGGTTAGTCTATCTAAAACCACATACTACCAGATTAAAACACAAAAATTAAATTGGCCAATGACAGTAAATCACCAAGTATTTATCTAACTGTAATTGCCTACTATTTGCTCACTATGTAAAATGACCACATTTTTATCTTACCATTGATACCTTATAATATTATTCTAGGGCAGTGATATCGAACCTTTTAGTGCTTTCAACCATACAAACACTTGTCTGGCCTGTGTGAAGCCATGGGTTTGATCCCCAAGACAAAACAAAAAAAAAGAAGCAGGAGATCAAATTTGGAAAAAGTGTATCAGAAACCACTGGGAAAAAAATATAAATGAAATACAAATAAATAAATGAAAAAGTACTCTATTGCTTTTAACCCTTCTTATATCTTTGGGGATTCTAAAATAAATGTGGGCTTGGGCAAATGCCACGGTAACACTAGGTTTCATTCACATTCATAAGCACTGAATGAGACAGTTCCTCCTTTCTACAGTAACCATAAGGAGACTGTTTTGGGTGTGTTGCACAATTCAGTTCTTCTCATCATCCTGGAATGGGGATTAGACACTGAAAAAAAAAAAAGTAGCTTCTAAAAGCATGAGGAATTGTTAGAGGACCATCCAAAACTAAGAACTTGCAGCAGGTGTTCCCACCTGTGCCAGAATAACTGCAGTAAAGTAACTTTTCTTCCCAGAGCGGGTGGTGATAAGTGGGGAGGGAAGAGTGGAGGGAGAGAAGTACCAGACCACTAGGAGTAGGGGATTTATGCCAATGGGCACAGCTAACTTTCTTAACGTAATGTAAGTGAACATGCTCTACTTGGCTTGATGTCTTTTTAAGGTTTCTTTATTTTTTATTTTTTGTACCAGGGATTGAACTCAGGACCTTGCGCTTGTGAGACAGGTGATGGAACCACTGAGCTATATATCCCCGGCCTCTTGGCTTGATGTCTTTAAGAATACATAATAGATTTATCACTCCAAAACCAAAACTGTGCCAGACTGTACAGTGTATACACTTCAGTGTGCACATTCATCCAATGAGCATACCACATGGTCCTCGAGCATCTCTAGGGTGTGCTTCTAATGAGAACACATTAGTGCTGATTTTAATGACTGCTTTGTTCTTACTTCATCATCTCTTACCTCCTAACTTTTAGATGAGCTTTTTTTTTTTGGGTGTTGGAGATCAAACCCAGGGTCACTCACATGCTGGGCAAGTGCTTCACCACTGGGCTATAGACCCAGGCCAAGATAAACTAATTTTTAAACAAACTAAATTAAAATTCTTAAGGATCTGGTAAGTGAATATTAAAATAGTGTTATCTATTCTTACAGTTATTTTTCAAGTCAAATGCAATGAATGATAACAATTATTAATGTTAAATTTTCCATTTACTTAGTAATTATTTTTTAATAAGTACTATTGCTACAGATATTTCCTATTGTTAAAAAAATAGATACTTTTATACACTTACTTTAATGCAATAAGAGATGCAATTATCTTCATAGTGTTTGCAACACCTATGCCTTGGTCCATGCTTACATCTGAAATTGAACCCCCCAAAAAAATCTAATCAAAATTAATACATGTGTGAGCACCAGGGTGCATATGTGTGCTTGTAATCTGGTTAGAACTACCTCCCAAAGGAGAAAAATCACCACTTATTTCTAAATGCATGTAACTTTTGTATTTTAGGACACACTGAAGCAAGTAACAGATTTTTTTTTTAATTGCATACCATTTGACACATTATATAGAATATGTAACTACAGTAAAAATACTTGAGTTTGGAATATAAAACCACATTGTTAAGTATTTGTGACTATGAAAACTGTGTGTGTATTGCCTATATATACTGCCAAATCTCTGGACACTTTAAATTGCTTATTGCATGGTATAATGGTCATAAATCATTCCTGAAGCCAATATTTGAGCAAAAATCATAATAAGAATGTGCTCAGGTTACAGAAATATATACTTAATTATATTTGAGAGAAAACATCTGGAAAAGAAACATAATACAGTATTAGAATTCAAAATTCAGTTATTAAATAAATATAGAAATAGAAGTCATATGACTTCAAAAAGTGGGTTATTGTAATTTAACTGTAAACCTCTTAACCCTCTAGTGTTTAATAAAAACATTTCTACTGAGAGGACTACTGTTCAAAACATGTTCCTTTTAATTGTTGGGTGCAACAGCTCCACCCCTGGCATAAAAAAACAGTAGGCTAATATGGGTATAGCTCTCTCCTTCTCTCTAAAGGGTTCATGTTCCAAAATAAGCAGCCTTTATAACTTCTTTAAGACTGATTAATTATTTCCATGGCTGAAATATATATCTTTTTCCTGTTTATAACAAAAACTCACATAGCAATGTTGTGGCTCTGTACCTCTCTCATTTGCAAACTGATTAACAACATATTTCCAGAAATCCCACCCTGAACTGTATCTGTATTACACAGGCAGATTTTCCTTGTCACAGGTCACAGCAACAGTTCACATAGATCTAAGTCCTGATACTATTAGAATGATACGACAGATCGGCCAAGAAATGTCAAGGGATTAAAGCTAGCAGCGCGAGAAGAGAAGAATCAGAGGACTGCCTCGTGCAAGCCATCACTCTTCACACCTCTAAGAGTCCTCTTCAAAACACTTCAGTCTGTGCTGCCAGAACTATACATAAATGATTAAACTCTGACAGTGATTTACTACTGTCATTTAATCTTTTTTTAGTCGTCCATTAAAAACGGCTTCCTAAGTCCTGGACTGTTTGCCTCTCATTCTGCTTTGCTTCTGCATCAGGTTTTACTCTGGGGACCCAGTGAGACAATAAGATCTGCCATGACCCTATCATTTCTAACATCCAAGCCATCACTTACTATGTAATTTACACTCTCCTCTGATTTGGTCTGCAATGATTCCCATTAATGGGAATCCCTTCTCACTTTTCTACACTAAGGTAACTCGTAACTATTTTTGAACTTAATGATCCCTGTCATCCACCATTCCTTTCTTCATTCCTATGCTCTGAGGGCAGTACATAGGAAAGTCCAGGAAACAATATTTAAATTCAGTACAAATCTTATGCTCACTCTGTGCTTATACATTATCAGGTAATTTTATATGTTATTTCATTTAAGGCTTATAACAATTGTTAATAGAGATTATTAACCTCATTTATATAAGTACACTGAGATGTACAGGGGTTAAATTACTCAATGTCACAAATCTGGGAGGGGCAAAATAAGAGTCACAGGCAGATTTTCCGTTTTCTTAAAGGGTTTCATCTCCCTATCAACAATCCTTCCCTTTTAATATTGCCTACTTTTTCTGTCCTCTCTAAAATAAAATCATTGTCACAATTAGTTTTACTCATTGATGGTCTAAATTTCAAACCATTAAATTCATTAAATGTCTACATTGGAAATTACATGAATGTATGAAAAATGTGTTTTCTGAATAACATAACAAGAAATATTTATTTCAGTCTGAGAATCCTAAAAATTTACACTCTTACAAGATGTCTTTACTTAAGGCTTGATCCCTATTATTTCTGTATCTTCTTGAATTCAGGAACTTTTCTTTGTCCTTTCCAAGGCTGGCATATTCAATTAGCACATATTAACATATTTCTTGGAGTTCTTGCTTAGTTTGAAATAGAAGACTATTTCAATTTTATACAAATTTACTTAAAAGGCATGTAATGGTTTACTATCCCGTGAGAAAGAATAAAACACATTCACTTGCCATCATTTGTCTTTAAAAAAAAAAAAACTTTATACATTTTTTGGTAAAAGAAAACAAAGTAACACTGTTACCCAAAAAGAAAGCAAAAATACCTTGGCACAATACAAATATCATATAAAACAGTGACAAAGCGTGGTAAAATGTTAAGATAAAGAACTCACATTGAATCCACAAATTTCTTAACTAGAGTGATTATATTCATTCTTCTTGGTTTTTCCTTATGTTCCTCTCTTTTTTGTTCCACTTTTGCATATGCTGCCTCTGGTGAGTAAGAATGTGTGGGAATTTCTTCCTTCCCTACAATGAACCTAAGAAAAGAAGAAAAGTATAAGGCATTTTTCATTGTTGAAAAAAATAAGGGCTGTGGACCAATGAAATATGAAAATTTAAGCACTTAGGAGAATGAAAAAGCCATTATTATCAACAACTGCAACCAATCCTGTTGGAAAAGCTTGGTAAAACATCAGACTTATTAAATCAAAATGGATGTGGAAAGGATTTGTTTGTCAGTTAATGTCATCTGTGAAACCTTGGTCCCTGTTAGCCCAGAAGAACTGCTTTCTTAGTCACGGGTATGCACAGAGTTTAAGATCTATACTACTGTTTTACTGTTGTGGGTGTTGCTGTTTTGAGTTTTGTTTGTTTTTATTTTTATGGTACTGGGGGTTGAACCCCGGGCCTTTATGTGGGGCTACACCTCTAGTCCTTTCTTTTGTTTTAATTTTTTATTTTGAGACAAGATCGCCCTAAGTCACTAAGTTTCCCAAGCTCAGCTGAAATTTGTAATCCAACTGTATGAGCGTCTCAAGAGTGCCAGGAATACAGGCATTCAGCATCGCACAAGAAGGATAAAATCATCCAGAATAAACGCAACACTTTCTTACATCTTTCACAATAACACTGTTTCTCTTTCGGCCGGCACTGGCCGTCTTGGATTAGTGGTCACTCCCTTGGAGAAGCTGTCCCTATCTCAAGGCAAGAGGAGTTAGCATCCTCCCTCTATGTTCTCACAGCCAATGACCCCTATGATGGTAAGCACCATTTCAGTAGTCTGCATTCTCCACTGAACTGTGGGGACTGTGAGATTAGCATAACATGTGACATAAGTAATTATTTAACATATATTGAACGAAGGAATGTAGTAGTAGTTAGCATTTTTTGCGTACTTACTATACAACAGGCACATGCCAAGTGCGCCTTTTACAAATATTAAATAATTAATCCTCACAGAAACTTTATAGTGTCATGATTCCCATCAGAGTTAGTATGAATAAGTATGCTGTCCACAGGCAATAAAGTTTTAGTAATTATTTGAACACAGAACCATCTGCATCGAGAGCCTGGCCTCTTAATCACTGTACTACGCACACTTCCAACTATGTCTTAAACTCTGGTAAATCCGCACAGTACACTTCAGATGCCGCACTGGTTTTCTCCCACGGTTCTGTCCTTGACTCTTTCTATCTATCCTTATGATTTGTATCTGCAAGGCAGATAAAAGCCAAATCATCCTAGATATAATTTTCAGAGGAAGCTTCTTAAAGTATAGATCTGCACTTGCTGCTTTCATATTCAACAAGTTTCTCTGGCTTATGGCCTACTGAATAAACTATAAACTTCAAGTCTAAAACAGTACTGGGGACAGAGTGAGTGCTTACTGCATGAGCTATTCCTGTACATTACAATTAAATGTGCTGACCATACTGAATACTAGTAATAAAAACTTTAAAAAACAGTACCTCAGTACCTCTCTTCTCATCTGGATCATTTTTCCCTACATCTGTGAGAACATCTTACCTGCCTTTGAAATAGATCTTAAATGCTCTTTCCTTTCACCTTCTTCTGTCAATCCTCCTTATAGAAAAAAAACTATATACCACTCAATTTCTATCCTCTTCATAGCATTTGGGCTTTGCTATTCTACAAATATTTCTGTGCAATTTTCCTGCTTTCTTTTCTGTCTTTATTTCTAGTCACAACTTGGAGACACACATTAAGTTAGGTCTAACTAACATATTCTGCTGAAATAACCTACACTTCTCTTTTGTAATATTCAGCATAATACAATTGATAGTCTTTCTTACTAAACCATAAATACAAAAGACAGAGATTGTATCTGACTCATTCACCAATGTTTTTTTGTTTTGTTTTGTTTTGTTTTTTGAGACAGGGTCTCACTAGTAGTGAGACTGACCTAGAACTCACTATGTAGCTCAGGCTGGTCTCGAACTCACAGAAATCCTCCTGCCTCAGCCTCCCGAGTACTGGGATTACAGGCATGTGCCACCACGCCAGGCCTCACCAATGTATTCTTAATGTACAAGTCCAGAGATTAAAAAGTAAAAACATACCAAATAAAACAGTGAGTGAAAGTTATCTTTGTAGTCCACCTATTAACTTGCAAATGTGTAGCACTTAAAATATAAGAGCTGAACTGAAGTAAAGTTTAGCATTCTAAAGTTACTCTAGGTCTAATTAGGAGATATTAAACTTGGATATTGTGTGAATACTATACTTTGTGATTAAAGGATAATTTTCCTCAGGTGAAGCAATGCGTTCTCATGACAGAGTAATTATGATCTGTATAAGACCAGCACTTCCTCCAAGTGACTGTATTAATTAAATTTGGGAATGATGAGCACTGCCCTATGTATCTGACACTTTATCTTTTTTATCAAAGTTTAATATTGCCAGGAAATAGTATTCAATTTGGTGACAAGTATTTTTTGTGACCTCTCCTTTTTGTTATTAATGCAAATGCTTTTGTAAAAAAACATGGTATAGACTTATAGCATATGTCTGCAATAAAGATTAGGACAGCCAAAAATAGAAAGATGTAGAGTTAGAAAGTCATGTAAGATAATACTTCTTGGAAGCTTACAAAAACAACATACAATGACCCACATAACTTTCTGACAATAATAAGTACATTTGGCTTTTGGTACTATTCTTCTATGTATGAATTTAATATCTTTGAGAATAAGCAATTCTCAGTGCAGGAAATCTGAAATGAAATCATATCTGTTTAGTGCAAGGAGATCTACAATATGAATCAAAAGACAATTCATAATACTTAACAATTTTCTATGACAACAAGAATACTAGCATGAATAACATTTTTCTATAATAATTTAGAGAGAAAAATTTTAAGGACAAACAGTTCAAACTACTCTATTATTACAAGTGGACTTGAAGAAGACATACAAAAACATATCTGACATTTTCAGTTATTGCAGTTTCTGAGAGTTTTCATTTCAGGAAAATCACCTTTTTGTTTTCTTACCAACTCTCAGTTAAAACAGAATGCTTTAACCCAAGCCAAAAATGGGTATCTGAAATGAACAGACATTTCTCAGACAAAGAAGTAAAAGCAGCAGATAAACATATAAAAAAAAAAATGTTCAATATCACTGGTCATTCGAGAGATGCAAATAAAAACAATGCTGAGATTCCACCTCACTCCAGAAAGAATAGCTGCTATCAAGAAATCAACCAGTAACAAATGCTGGTGGGGCTGTGGGGAAAAAGGAACCCTGCTCCACTGTTGGCAGGAGTGTAGACAGATGCAAATCAGTGTGGTGATTCCTCAAAAAACTATGATACCTGTTGGGTATCTTTCCAAAAGAATTAAAATAATCATACCTAAGCGATATATGTGTACCCATGTTTATAGCAGCACATTTTGCAATAGCTAAACCTTGGAAACAGCCCAATTGCCCATCAACTGGAGACTGTGTGTATGTGTGTTTTTTATAATAAAATGGAGTACTACTCAGCCATAAAGAATGAGAAACTAGAGATATTTAGACCTCAATGGAGGTATACTGAGGCCATATTCTTATGTGAAATAAATAGGAGACACATGTAAATACTGAGGTTTCTCTGGTGTGAGAAACTGAAAGTGTAAATTAGGATCAAAATGTATAATAGATAATGTGAAATAGGAAGAAAAGGTCCAAAGGGGAAGGGGAAGGGGAAGTGGGAGGAGTAGGAGAAAGGAAAGAAGAGAAAGGAAAAAATATGAGAAAAGGAAAAAATGGAAATAAAGTCTTCATAAATAGGGAGGGGTGGAGAGGTTGAAGGGAGGGCAGGGGAATCAGGAAAAAAATAAGAACCAAGACAGATCATAATGATACAAATTACCAATGACTAATGTCATATTGTATACCTAAAATGTACCAATAAACTTAATTTTAAAAAACAGAATGCTTTATAGTCAGTGTAAAAACAACAGCAATAAAGTCATTTTCTAAGAAATGTATGAGTTTTTAGAGAACATAAGACATGAAAATTACCACAGTGGAGTACTACTTAGAAAGTTTTTGTTACCATAAAGCTTCCACAAGCAAAAAATATTCTAAATCACATATTGGATTTGATTTTTTTTTTCCCCTTCCAAAACCAGTTTCTTTCCATGTCATCTGATTTTGTTAGTAAGACTTTCTTTTAAGTGCTTCAATATTTTTCTGGGATTGAGAGATACAGGGAAAGAGAAAGACTGAACGTATCAGTCACTAGGTCTTCATTTCCTTTCAAGTCTCAAATTTGTCTTTTTCTGTTTAATTCTCCCACTGTCCCTCAAATCCCAATCTTTAGTATTTCTACCTTGAAGTTCTCTCTTTCAGGGTCCCAAAGTCTGTGGTAGATGAATCATTCTGAAAAACTGTCAGCAACCTGCTCACAATCCTTTAGTGGCTCCCTACTGCCCACCTTATCAAATCTAAGTTTGTCTTCTACACACACAACCCCTTTCTGCAATCTGATTCTAATCTACCTACCCAAAATACCTTATATTACTTATATAATTTTTTTACTAGTAGATTTCCTCACTCCTGTGTCACATTTCATGTTTACAATTTTCATGATTTTGCTAATATTATTCATTTCCACCCAAGGTCCTTTTCCTCTTTATTTATAGTCATCTAAAACTATCCTTCAAATATAGCTTAAGGCATCTAATTTATAAGATTAATAGCAAAAGTAATAACCTACATTTTTACTTATAATTTGCCAGGCACTGTTCTAAATATTTTCATGTACTAACTTATTTGACCCCGAGAATAATTTTATGAGTCAATCACATAAAACCTCTCCAAATCCTGAGCCCTACCCTAATTTTTTCCCTCTAATACTAGTAATAAATACCACGTAAACAAGCTTCACTAAGTATCTATCATATGAACTTTGGAGAATAAAATAGGGGAACACTTAGAACACAAGCAGGAAGATAGCTGGGTTTGGAATTGGTATATATAGTTACTTGTGTGCTATTAAATTAGTCAAACATTCTAAGCATTGCTTTCTTCATCATATTTCATTGGCATAAAAACATTCATCTCAAAGAATGGATGCAGAAATTGAACTTTCTAATCTATGTAAAAATGCCTGGTGAACTATAAAATATATTGTTAATGCTAACTAACATCTATAGAGTATATATATCATGTGCCAATTACTATGCTAAGAGATGGACTATGAGGTAAAGAAAAGACTATAATTAAGATCTAATATGTATTTGACAGAATATGTCCTATTCTACCTTGGTACCACATAATTAATTCCTTAAATTTTTGGTAATTGTTCATGTGCAACTTTGTCTTTCAAGCTCCTGTTACTATAACAAGATACTTCTTGTCTTTCTTTACTAGCAACTTACAACACAAAGCAGACAAGAGGGCCCAAAAAGCAATGGCTAATTTTTAAGGGAAAATAATCTAATAAACTGCTCTTTCAATGAATTTTCCATAAAGGTTTGTAATTATAGGTCTGACTTTAAAAACTGCTATTAGTTTAAAAATTTAGTCAAAAAGTATTTATTACAAGCATATACTTTTTCAATAGTTAACTCACAATTTCTCACTCAATATAAAGATAAATAAAATGTTACTTACCTAAGTGCCAAAAATGTAAATCCTTTCAAACCATCTTTGCACCTAAAACAAAAATTCAGTTATAAAATGTGTTTTGTTTATAGTTATAAAACCTGTATATACCAGATTTTTTTTCAAAGAATGATGTTCTAAAAGATGTAACTTAGTATAATGAACTCAGCATTGCAAATGGTCCAACAAGCAATGAAGCAACTCACATTACACAAAACTATTAATATAAATACTTTGCTACATCATATTAACATAACTTAGGGCTCAGTTCTCAGATCTTCTAATTGCTCTATCTAGGCTTAAAACAGTGGCTGGGAGTGGAGAATTCTTCATTCTGCCCAATCCCCTTGGGGAGTGACTTTTATAACTATAAAGGCTATATACACTTTCTGGGTATTATATATAGGTCAACCGGAGGTCTCCATTTCTCTCTTCTTAATTCAATGAATGAAGAGCAACATAGAATTAGCAGGCTCAGAAAAGCTTCAAGTTCAGTGCAACCATTTTACCTTCTGATTTAGTTCAATCAGAACAAATGACATAGCAAAGGGAACAGGATCAGGGTAGGAAGAGGGTGCAAAGAGAGAATTCCAATTAGTATATTGAGCACTATTTATATACAACTCTATGAATCAAATTTTCTCTAATCCAAATCTGCACATATCAAACAATGCAAGACCTTCCCAGAGGTCACAATATTAACAGCAGTCAGAATTTAGGGTGGGAAGAGAAAAACTTGATCTGACTTTTAAAGTCATGCTTTTCTCCTACCTAACCTCCTAAAATTGTATTATTTTTAATTGGGGAAGGCACGAATTACACCATAATTTAAAAAGACCAAATTCTCAGATTTGCAAAAAAAAAATTTTTAAATAAGATTTGATCACCTTACATAAAGGGTCTCTGGGGTTTATTATCAAAACCCCTTAAAGAAATCTATAAAGTTTGATGATATATTAAGATATGATCAAAACATATGGTGAATGTTTACATTTTTTAGAAACTTATTACAATAAAAGACATTGCCATTAATCCTCCTCAAGATAGTTCCTTGCTTCAAAAACACTTCACCTATGTTTCTCGCCACTTTTTAAAGTAGTTCTGGAAGTCCTCTTTTGTGAGTGTCTTACATTACACTGTTACAGTTGCCCGGATGCTTGAGATGATGTAAAATATTTTACCTTTCATGGTCATTTTGACCGTAGGAAGAACCAAAAGTCACACAGAGTTGGATACAGTGAAGAAGGTGGATGAAGACACACTATGTTTTTAATTTGAAAGAAATTGCCATAAATGTATGATCAATGTGGGTTGATCATAAAATATTTATATTCAAAAATTTATTATGGTAAAAGACACATTGCCATTAATCCCCCTCAAAATATTTTCCCTCACTTTCAACATACTGATCCCACTGTTCTTGGCAATGTGTCTTTTACTGTAATAAGATTTTTAAAATTTACAAATTCACCACATGTTTTTATCATTCCTTGTATGTTATTATTAAGACCTTGGATATTCACATATAATTAATTGCCTCTTTCTGTATTTCTTTTGTATGAAGGGTAACAAAGGAAATGCACAAAAGGAATCTTACTTTTTAAAAAGTATACAGTATATATAAATACATATATGTAAATGTAACAACCTCAGAAAAAAATCCATCCATGTGTTATAGTTTGTGTTTAGATGTACCCCCAAAACCTCATGTGGATGAGGTGGGACTTTCTTTTTCAGAGGTAGTTGCATCTGGAATGCTTGTTGCTAGGATCAAAGGCGTGTGATTACTAAACCACTATACCGCCCTAATCCCAGTAGTATGAATAAGATACAGGGGCAGAAAGAGGCTGGTAAACTCCCTTGCTGCCTCTGCTACCTTGTACACACCATGTCGTTTCTCTGTGATGTCTGTTTGCGATCCCTATCTTACAGCCAGCCTACTACGGACTGAAGCCACTATGAACTGTGAGCCAAATAAACCCCTTCCTCTCTAATTTTGGGTGTCAGGTATTTTGTCACAGCAACAAGAGAAAAGCAACTAACACACCATGTACACAGAAATGTTTTAAAATACTGAAAGGTTCAACTAAGGACAAGGTCTCCCTTGTGGTCATGTTAACAGAGAGAAATATAACCATTGAATTCTGAAAACATATTACATAATTATCTCCCCTACACCAAATGAAAGTAAAGGCAAAAGAATTTATACATCAAACTAAAAGATGTGCATAGGAAATTATAGCACTAAAATTCTTAAATTTAATTTTCTAAGCTGAATGAAGTGTTTCACAATAATATAAACCCCAGTAGTATAGCCAGGCTTGGTGGCCCACACCTATAATACTAGCACTTCTGGAGGTTGAAGTAGGAGGATGGAGAGTTCCAGCCCACCTGGGTAACTCCAGGATTCTACAAGACAATAAAAAACAAAAATGGTTTGGGGATGCAGCTCAGTGGGAAGGTCCTGGATGGGTTCAATGTATGGTTAAAAAAAAAGAGGTCTATATGGGCAGAGAGGTAAGGCCATAGGGTAGGTGTGCACTGACTAGAAAAAAGAAACAGCAGATTAATTAAAAATTATGTACATCTGGGAACCAATTTTGGCTTTAGAATCTTACTGTTAAAAATTTCCCATTTATCTTTTTGTGATGGTGAAGATAAAAGATTCTGCCAACTTTGTCTAGTCAACATAGCATATTTCTCACACTGAACTATTAAATTTAACTGCAGACCAAAACATCAAAAAATAGCTTTCAAGTATAAAAGGAGCATATACGAATAAGTCTGTGGTTTCATTGTGATGGAAGTTTGCTTCTTTCAGGAGAACCCTGTGGGAAGCACTTCATATTGATAAAGTCTTAACACGGGTCTAAAAGGGCCATTCTTCTTTCCATTCATGTGTATAGGTTTGTTAATGTAATTGAGGGTCAGATGTCTATGTCAAAAGAACAAAAAAGTAATTATTCCCATGAAAAGAATCTTTAAAGCAGTAATAACGTCCTACATTTTCACATCAAGGGTACTGTCTGAGCATCAGCCTATGAAACTCTGTTGTAATCTGTGAAAAATGAAGAAAGGATGATACAAAGATTTAAACAACCCCCACTGGAAAGTTCCTCATCCGTCTATAGAACTGGTTTTTACAATGTAAATCAAATTCTATTTTTCATTTAAGAAATTTTTCATTAATGTTAGCTGACTTACTCAACTATTATTACTAAGTGCTACTATGTGTAAGTGCTGGTTTTAGTTCTAAGGATGTTAACACTGAACAACAGAGCACCTCTGTTTTCATGTGGCTGGCATTCTAGAAGTGGGAGAGTAAAATAAAAGACTAAGACAAGGAGAAAATAGTGATGGAGTCAAGATTTCGTATTTATAATCAAGAAGGGTCTTTCTGAGAAGGTAAAAGGTGGTAATCTCATCAGAAATCTTTATGAACTGAGGAAGGCATTTCAGTTTGAGGTAATAATAGCAAGTACAAAGCCCATGATGAGAGTATGCAGACAGTCAGGAAAACAGCAAGTGGATTATTTAACTGGGGCAGAGAATCAGGTGTAGGAAATGAGGTCAGCTCATCAGAGTAATGGGGTAGAGGGAGAGAATGGTCTACAAAAGACCTCTTAGGCACTATAAGTGTTTTGCTTGCAATGTTCTCAGCAAAGGAGTGACATGATCTGTCATAACTTTCAAGAGAACCATTTTGGCCGCTGCACTGAATGTAAACTATATAGGACAGTATATTCAGAGTCAAGGAGAGTAGTACAGATGGGAAAGACAATTGTGATATGAGGTAAAGGGAAGTATTAAAAATTAGAATGTATTTCAAAAGTAGAGCTGGCAGAATTTCTTGATGGTATAAACATGGAATAAAGAAGATTATTAATTATTGACTACAAATTATGGAAATATGTTTCCTTGGAGAAAACAGGAAAACAAAATGATCATTTTTGAAAATGAGGATACTATTGGATGAATAGTTCAAAGAGAAAACTAAAGGTTTGTTTTGGATATTTTAAATTTGAGATATATTTTAATTAAATGGAAAAGTGAAGAAAGCAAGCATCTGGTTATACAAATCAGGGGTTATGGAAAAGATCTTATTTATTCATATGTAATACTTAAACTTATGAGACTAAGCACAATCTTATAGGAAAGGAACTAGATAAAGTAATTATACAAGTTCTGAACATACTTTATTCCTTCATAACCTTTCATGCAAAAATTCTCTTCTTAGGAGAAAAACAACAACAATATTTTGTAATCAATTCACTCCCTAAGTCTTATTTTTATTTTCAAGTATACATAATGTAATGTAGATAAGGTAAGATAATGTACTTGACTCAAGGGTACACAAACTTCTCTATTTAGTTTATACACATGACATAAACTAATTACTATAATTCAGTCCATATTTACTGAATCTTAGGGCCGAGTATTTAGCTCAGTGGTTCTGCCGCCTGCCTTGCAAATGCAAAGACCCGAGTTCGATCCCCGGTACCAAAAAAAAGGACAATTCTTTATCATATTTACTGAATCTTCACTTTGTAAATTCTGGTGACAAAGTAAAACACACCAGAAAATAGAGCCAGAAAAAAACAGAGAGGAAAAGGAACATGAATCATTACATCAAAAAACTTGTCAATACACAAATAACTACAAAAGTTTAGTTTAGAATTACATACTGTAGACAAACACAAAGAAGCTTAACACCATCATTATCAGCACACTATTCTTGGTCAAATCAGAAAATTTTGATTAGGAGTATAAATGATAAGTAAAAGAAACTATTCTTCCCCTAAGACTTTTTCTCCTATGATTAATTTCCATGATACTACCGTAATGTATTCCCCTGAGATATTCATATTACAATATGCTACCAGCAGATGTCGCTACAATATTGTTTTTGTGTGATACGTAGGGGAAGAACAAAAAGGGAAAAGAAAAAAAATGTGAGAGAATGAAAAGATGAAAATAAAGTGTTTGTAGATGGGGAGGGGAGGAGGGGGTGAAGGGAGGGCAGAGGTAAGGGGAAAAAAATGAGAATCAAG